CCACTTCACCAATCTGCCGCTTGGAGAGTCCTTGAGGCTGAACAAAATCCTCGTCTTCGTCTCTTAGTTGATATAAATCGGCAACTGGCGGACGTGATACTCCTAACCGAGGCAAAATGGCAACTAGCTGCAGAAAACATGGTGCAATTTTCTATATATTTGATTTTTGTATAATTCCACGCTAAAATTTACATTCTCTGGACACATTATAAAGTTGCCTTGGTCAACACTCCAATCACTCAGATTTAGCCCCTTAGTTATGATAGTGGATACTTTTTTACTATAATTTTAACCTATTTACTTTAGAAAAATAATTAGATAATTGAATATGACTGTTGATACTTAGTAAGTATCAAATTAGGTTAAATGATTTTAAAATGTCTAAAATCTCCCACTATAATGTCTTTGTGAAGATTCATAGTTGTAAGTTTTGTTATTAACTATGTATACATATATTTCATTAAAGACCTTAACTTCACTATCTACATTAATCATTATTGTCCTCCAAGAGTAAATACACTTATCCATAGATAGGAACAAATTAGGTCGGGAAATCTTGCGATTATCGATTTCAACCCAAAGCATTTCTCTTGTATCTTGAGGTATAAAAAATATTTCATAAAGATCGTCTTAATCGCCTCTCACATTCAAGATGATTTCGTTGTTTGGCTTTATAAACCATGCATTGATTGCTGACTCTATAAGGCTAGTAAGTTTGCTTTGGCTTACCTTTAATCTTTTTATCTATATATTATTTTTGTTTAACTAGCGCCGTCTCCTTGGGATTCCCGAGGCCACTCTTTCTAACGGCATTGATTCATACAAGACTGATAATAATCAACAGCACCAGCCACAGCCTTTTACCTCTCGTTTGCCCATTCCACCACCCAAGCTTGTGCTACGTCTGGCACCTGAGCAAGTAGTTGATGGTGCTATTCGCCTCCACGAAGTTCCACGCCTTCGTCCCGGAGACGTAGCTCTTCAAGCCTATACAGATAGACTGCGAAGCCAAGGTAATCCTGCAGACCGTCCATATCAAGGAGTTGAGGCTGTGGCCCCTGCGAGAGCAAATGTTCCTGATCAGGAGACACTCCCCGAGCTAAGCTTGGGATCGGCAAAGACAGTCGAGACACGCAGCGGATTTACTTTGTCCTTGGAGCCAATGTTGAATGACAAGGAAGCATCTACTCTTCAAAAGCCTGAGGAGGCGTATAACTTTGTGCGCGATGCTCCAGATGAAGGTAATCTAATCAATGGTCCAGATTCATTGTTTGAAACGTAAAAATCACGCGAGCTTCTTATTGTAGCCTGTCATAGTTATACTATCATTATTCTGTTTCTCTAAATAGAGCATTTGGCTGGATGAT